GAAAAATTCCCAAAAATCCAAAGTAACTTTTTTCTCAGATAGATTCCAAAGAAATTTTTTTTCTTCAATAAGGTTTCCAAAAGTCCGAAGTATTCAAACTTCCATAGAACCACGAGGAAATCCTCGAAGGACGTTCCATACTTGGAGCATGCGCCATCAATCTCTCCAAAACCCTCTCTCGTCATGCGTGCAGTACCTATTGCCCCAGTATCCGTGTGTGTCATTTCATCGTGCTCGAAGAATCAACGTTCGCGTAAATAAGTAGAAAAGAGGAAGGAGAAAAAGAAATACCCACGAGTAACCACAAAAAGAAATGGTAAACAGTGTGTCACCGCTTATCGGCGATGTTATCAGGCAAGGATGGCGAATCTTCCTGGTGGCTGGTTTCAACCAACCTAGTCAGTCGAATCGTATCGAGCGATCGACGCGGTCCGCGTGTTGCACTAGTCCTCCACTCTGATGCTGTGATTCTTCACGTCAATTAACTAACGAAATCACTCGTTCCCACGATACACCATGCCAACCACCACAAACTTGACCCAGGCGAGCATGGAAGAGATGCAACACTTCTTGAACTCGTTCGACGTCGTCTTGTCTGATTGTGACGGTGAATTTTCCACAAGATTTTTTATATAATCTGTCCAATTGAAATTCAATCGTATTGTTCGACTCGTGTGCGTGCCCATTGTGAACGAAGAGCATTAAACAGAGAGTTATTTCATTAGGTGTGATCTGGTATCAGGGAAAGCCAATTCCTGGCGCAATGGCGATGATCAGAAGGCTTCAGGAGTTACAGAAAAGATTATACCTGGTGACGAATAATAGCACCATCAGCACGGATCGATACTGCGAGAAACTGCGGCTGAATGGCTTGGACGTGGAGCCGGTGAGTTTCTGACGAGTGATTGTGAGAAATTGATGTTTTTAGGGTTTGGTTATGGTAGCTTTGTGAACGAGTCTGATATTTGCATATGATGGTTATTGAGACTCCGGAAACATGTATCCTCTATTTTGTTGAAAACAATTTCAAATTTTCAATACATTGTATGAACAAATGAGTTTCTCTGAAAAGATTCTTTTTGTTTGCGATTGAATTCTCCATTCAGAAACACATAATTTCAAGAAAGCTTTCTTCCTACACACTACACATTCTAAATAATAATTATTTAACCTCCAAATTTGAGGACTATTTTTACCCCTTCGATATAAACGATTGTGTGCAGAAATGTTTCAGAGAATGTTAATGTTGAGGCAGCAGGTTAGTGCTTTGGTTTTGAATAGGGGAACGTTGATGCGTTGATTAGAGGATATTAGAGATATTTCTGAGGAGTGGTAGGTTTGTTTTAGATAGCTGAGCGATGTAAGAAATGATTTTATCACAGGAATCTTGAGGCCATAATTTTGTTTGATATTTTGTAATTACTTGCTTACAGAAGTGTTTGTTGGGAAGCTGATAAATAGAAAGAAATATCGTTCTGTGATTATACGTTTATATGTTCTGTAGTCGGTGAATTTTTCATTTAACCTGTCTTCAAGAATTCGTTGATATATTGTCGCTTGTCTCATTATCAGTTTTGAACATTTTCCACGATCAACTATCTAATCGTCATTATTGACAAGGCATTGATTTCAATTATTTAAACGTGACGCACTGTCGCCACCTTCGACAAGTCAGAAAAAATGAATGGATAATTGATCATTTTTTGTCAATGTTTCGTAATCACGTAAGAATTGAATTTCTAATTCCATACGGAGGGCATCTCAAAATTATAGTCATGGTCACGTGCACCGTGACCACCGCCTGTCAACTTCACCTATGTATCTAATATCCTACCTTCAAAAAGCAAATAATCATACTATATCACCACTATTTCTGCAATTTCACGTAATTATCAGTCGGAGGCTGTTGTTATCACACATTATGACATTGTTGCGCGAAGGTTGAACGATAAAACGACAAATACAATTTTACAGATTTCTTGTGTTCCGATAAGTATCCTTTGGTTAAAAATAGATGCGAGAGTGGTGACAGTGAAATTGTTATTATTTTTATTTTAGTTATTTTGAAGAAAAGTTTATTAAATCTATTAAGTCTATGTAACATTATCCTAATACTGGCAAGAAAAGGTGATTCGCATAATTTTTGCACCATTCTCTGGAAAGGTGTATCCATTTTCTTCTTTATATTAATGAAATACAGAGGGTGTATCTAGTAACTGGGTTGAGTTATAACTCGGTTGTTATCGAAGATAGAAAAAATTGTACAGAAACAGCTGAATAATGTGACGAAAAGTGTAAAAGAACGTGTAAGGAAACGTTTAGAATGCAATGGTAGATGCTGGAAAGAGAGGTAAATATTTCGAAAAGTATTGAGTTCTTCATGGTTGTTGCGTCGTGGACTTTGATCAAGTCTTATGACCAGGAGTTCTGGCGCAGGTTGATGATAGTTCTCGCTGGTTCAAGGTGGAATGAAACTTGGTTGTTGACATGTAAATTGGGACGGCTAATGGAGTTAATCTCCGGCTACAGCAAATGGTTTTTGCACGCCGTCTATAGACGCGGTCCGTACCGGGAAGGTTAATAACAAACGAGTTATAATTCGGCCTAGTTACCAAGATACACTCTGTATACAATAAGAAAGTTGTTTTAGGTTGTTGTGGAATAATTTTCCAGGAACAAATAATAACCACCGCGAAAGCGATCAGCTGGTACCTGAAGAAGATCAATTTCACGGACGAAGCATTCGTGGTCGCCTCGCCGCCTTTTCGGCAAACCTTAATCGACAGCGGAATTAAATTAACACCGGGTAACGTGAGTGAGATTTAGCGGAAGCTTAGTCAACGGCATTATGACGTTTCATTCTTGGATTCGAACTTACTCATACCTGTTACATGTAAAAATTTTTGACACGTAAAAATGAAGAAATAGTGATTTAATTTTGCGGACGTCAATTTAATTTCAAACGATAAAATCGAATTTCTTTATTATGTACAATATGCATACCGTAGAAGAAATGTCAATTTTCTGTTTTAATCGGTCTCGTTCGTCAAATTTGACAGCCCGGAAATCCTAAAGAACCCATATCTTATGCAAACAGTCGACACATTTGTCACGCTGTGTGATTAACACGCGAGATAAAAAAGATTACGGAGATGGTGAGTCTTCTCTTCATTCACAAATCATCGATCAATTTAATCGAATACCTGTATCATTTTAATCTGAAATTGCAACATCCGTGACGCTTAATAAATAAATACTATTGCCGTATATTGTGAATTTTACGACTGATGACAGCGTGACAAGAAAAGGGCAAAATTGCAAAGATTCTCCTTTCTTTCTTTAGCTTAACGTCGTAGAAGGAGACGCGTTGGCTACTATAAAGGCTGTTCAGGATCGACCGTCGGTGAAAGCAGTGATCGTTGATTTCTGTGTTCATTTCGACTGGGGAAAATTAGCGTTCGCGATCAACTGCTTAAAAAGGAAGGACGTTCTTTACATCAGTGGCGCCCAAGACGAGTGGGTCATCTGTGGTCTCGATAACAAGGTTTTAGGTACTTGATATTTGAGTGCACTTAATTTCTCGATTGAATGTTCAATGGTACTTCAGATAAGTACTCGAATTCCCTGGTTTAACTATTTGAGTATTCACTTAAGCACTCGCCTTCTTTTAATTCAATTTTAATATTAAGCTGAGTTAAGTTCTCACGTGAAGGTTTAAGCAGTGAATTAAGTACAGTAGAATTCCGATTATCCGGCATACTCGGGACCGAGGCAATTCCAGATAATCAAATATGCTGGATATTTGGACTGCACCTATGAAGTGATAATAACGAAGAAAATAATTAAAAAAACGACTCTGGAGACAAGTTACGATGCCTTCGTATATGCGTATATACAGTACACGCATCGTGAAACACATAAATTCCTTCGGTTTGTTCGTCAACTGTTTGGTATCGATGTTACTGCTTTGTACGAAATATGATTCGCGACGACTAGCGGAGAATAAACGGTGTAAATGTGTCAGTTAATCGGGCATTCCGGATAATTGGGTGCTGGATAATCAGAGCTCTACGGTATTAAGTTGAGTACTTAAGTACCGAGATAAGTATTCACTTTGAGATTTAAGGAGTAAATTAAGTATTAAGTTGAGTACTTAAGTACTGAATTAAGTATTCAGTTGAGTACTTAAGTACTGAATTAAGTATTCAGTCGAGTACTTAAGTACTGACTTGAGTACTTAAATATTCGACTCGAGTATTTAGTTAACGAGTTAAGTATGGATTTGAGTACTTAATTATTGACTTATGTATTATATCGACTCAACCATTTAACCACTCACTCAAGCGCTAATTCGAGCACTTAAATAATGAGCCAAGTGCTGATTTGCATACTTCAATTTTAATTTAAACATTGATTCAATTATTTACATATCGAATTAACTACTTCGTTCAATAATTTCCATAGAATAACTCACTCTACAATCTCGCTAACACTTACAGTAACTATTATACTTAGGTCCAGGTCCCTTAATTAACATAATCACCAAATACAGTGGAAGAGCTCCAACAGAATGCGCAAAACCCAGCGAAGTTTTACGAGATTACATTCTAAATGAGTGTGACGTAAAGGATCGGAAAAGATGTTTATTCATTGGCGACACGTGAGTTTATCTAAGTAATTAATAAATTGTACGGTTAATTCCGAAAGAATTTCTCTGTATATATATATAGGGTGCCTTTTAGAAAAATGGAACATTTTTTAATTTCAAACAATCGCAATTTAATTTCTTTACAGATTGTAGAGTGTTATTTTCCTTTTCTGTTTTTCTGACTTACAGAATGAATTACGACATGAAATTTGGCACGATGTGCGGATTTCGTAAGCTGTTCGTCGGGACTGGTGTGGATAACGTGGAGGACGCGGAGCAAACAGAAGAAACGCGTCCGGATTTCTACATTCCCAGTTTGGGGTTGTTGCACCCTATTATCGATTTGTTGCACAACGATTCTGAGGAGGATGGTCATTGACGTCGTACTCTGCGACGAAGACGGCACAGTTTCTATCGAATTGTAACAACAAGAATTTCTAGAACCTCGAACCCAATTTCGAGAAATGGTTATTATGTTTTTCCTGTTCCATTTTTACTTTCTCAAGTATAATGTCCATGCGGATATTCGCCATATCAGATTTCTCTTTAGACTTTGTAAGGAATTTTTCTACTTGCTGCTGTTGAAGTTGATAGTTCAGAGAGATGTACATACATATATTACAAATGACAAATTGAAGAATCTACGTAAAAGACGAAGTTTTTATCTGATACCTGATTAATTAGTTTAGATAAGAACACAGCATCCGTGGAACGGACAATAAATATTTGCAAATGCAATTTGCGTATAGTGATGTAATAGCATATAATGCGAATCTGCGATACAGTGAATTTATTTATGTTCGATTGATCGAAATAAAACAGAAATGTATGAAAAAATTAAGATTTGTGTATTGCTTTTTGTTGTATTTATTAACTTATCTAATTTAACCTTACCTAACACTATAATCCAGGGCTGTTCGGGTAGCCGTTATGGCAGTAAGAGCGCTCCTTTTCTCTCCGAGCAGAACCGAGAGCAGCGTCTGGAGCAAATGACGTCGACAGTCGCGAAAAGATTGCGGAACGACAGTTGTGGTGAGAGTGTACACGTCATCGGTTACTTTTTTCAACGCGTGGCTAAACAATCTACAGTCTCGACGCTATTTTCGCACAATTTTCCTAAGCTTTTCTCAGGATTTTTTCGATTTTCTCCACTAATGCACGTTCCTAACGATGCCCGAACTTGCATAGAGGGGTTATTTATAGGGATGGAGAAATATGTTGAGAATGTATAATGACGTTTTGTTTGCTCGTAGCTTTTGTTCCCGTGTGAGTTGAGGTTGCAAACTGATCGAGGTGTGGGACACGGTTGCAGTAACAGGAAAAGAACTTTTGTATGGTTGAACGGTGATTTTTAAGTAGCAAGATACTTTTATTTCACTGTTCATCTTTGAAACTTGAATGCACACATTGCTGCAGTCTCTATTCTCTAGCACTATTCGAAGCACTATTTCGAATGCAAAACATTGTGGTATGCGTTACTTTTGAATGCAACATTACTTGAAGCTTTATATTTGAACACAAACATTGCTAGAATCTCTAATTCTGATTTCAACATTATTAGAGGCGTTACTTCGAACGCAAACATTATTACAAGCACTACGCTTGAATGTAACATTGTTACGAGCGTCATTCTCGCTTGTAACATCGTTAACCCGTATTATTTTCGAATGCACATTGTTGCAAACGCGTTCTCGGTTTGCAACTTTGTTGCCGGGAGTCGTTCCCGAAAATTGCACATTGTTGCAAACGCGTTCTCGGTTTGCAACTTTGTTGTTCACAAAACTTGCACATTGTTGCACGACGCCCCGTTTTGCAACATTGTGCATTTTTCGGGAGCATCTCCCGGCAACAAAGTTGCAAACCGAGAACGCGTTTGCAACAATGTGCAATTTTCGGGAGCGAGTCCTGACAAAAAAGTTGCAAACCGAGAACGCGTTTGCAACAATGTGCAATTTTCGGGAGCGAGTCCTGACAAAAAAGTTGCAAACCGAGAACGCGTTTGCAACAATGTACAATTTTCGGGAGCGATTCGCGAAAACAAAGTTGCAAACGCGTTCTCGGTTTGCAACTTTGTTGCCGGGAGACGCTCCCGAAAAATGCACAATGTTGCAAAACGGGGCGTCGTGCAACAATGTGCAATTTTTGTGAACAACAAAGTTGCAAACCGAGAACGCGTTTGCAACAATGTGCAATTTTCGGGAGCGACTCGCGACAACAAAGTAGCAAACCGAGAACGCGCTTGCAACTTTGTTGCCGGGAGTCGCTCCTGAAAAATGCACAATGTTGCAAAACGGGGCGCCGTGCAACAATGTGCGATTTTCGGGAACAACAAAGTTGCAAACCGAGAACGCGTTTGCAACAATGTGCAATTTTCGGGAGCGACTTGCGGCAATAAAGTTGCAAACCGAGAACGCGTCGTACAGCAATGTGCGTGTTTCGAGAACGATTCGCTGCACGAAGTTGTAAACCCGGCAACGCGTTTGCTACATTGTGCTCTTTCAGGAGCGACTGCCTGCAACAAACTTGCAACCCCGACAACGCGCGTTGCAACATTGTTGCGTGACGGTGTCTCGGAATAGGTAAGTAGTGTAAGTCAACCATTTCTCAGATGTTCGCAATTTTTTAAGTTTTCCGCTCGGAGTTCGGGATTTTTACGCGTTCCTAACGATATCCGGACATAGTGTACTTAATTTTGTAATGGAATATTATTTAAAGAATGAGTGTTTCGCAAAAATGGATTCAGTGTGTAAAAAAGAAGTAAATGGACTGTAAAATGCTGTAAAACAATAGTGGCATATTGTAACCTTTTGCAAAATGCATTCTGTACAGTTATCTTACAATAAATAATTGATTTTTTGGCAAATAATTGCATTTCTTCATTTTATTCCTGATGTCGAAATCCTTTCCTTGATTCCTGAATTCTATTATATAAAAATTTCAATAAAAGTTACAAACAATTTCTAATTAATCTACCGCGTGCAATTGTTAATTCAGTGCAAAATTAATAAATTAAATTGATTTGTCAAGCTAAATCATGCAACAAATTTACTTAATACTTCCAATAACTACAAACTAGCATCTACATTCTTATTTAACAGGAAATACTAATTATTCTTCAGTTAAAGTACTCGAAAATAAAGCAGAAACTTTATTTTACTATCTATATTATTAGTAACGCTTAAATAATTAAACATTTATTAGAAGTATCGATTTTAAACTACTTACTACTGCAATTATGTTCCAATGCACAATAACTATTATTAAAAGCCAGAAATTCGAAGAATTTCTATTTTAAAAATCAACTAATATGATAATACTTACTTCTGACGATACTCTCGATCCTTCCGCTTTGAACGCTGACGATGGACTGAGCAGAACAATCCAATCAAAAACTGCGTGATTTCTAATGTTCCTCCCGTTGAAATACCATTCGATTTAACGTATCGAGCCTGTTACAATGTTTTCAAGCCCCGCTAACAATTATTTGGAATAATTTTTGCTAATGCACTCCTTACGAGACCGTAAAATTGAGAAAATTCCAATGAAGTTTGCTCTTACTTTAAGGGATACTCCGTTAAATAAGTTCTATATGAAAGATTTTTCGAATAACCAATATTTGGGCAAATAATTATGCGGACTGAATAAAATGAGACGCCCTGTAAGTATATTTGTTGGGGTTCTTTTCTGTTTACTTTGTTCTGTACCTATAAGAAGCTGCCGACTACTGCTAAATTCTTCCTCCTCCACTGTCTGCTAAAGACACATAAGTACTTCACTCTTCAGTACCAAAAGTTCACAATTTTATCGTAAATAATTAGTTATTTATCTTCGATACATAGTTCTCACTCTAGGTCGTGCGATCGTTACTACATTTCAGCCGTTTAATGCGAAAGTGGTGTAGGTCAAAGAATATAGTAAAGACAAAGTAGAAGTTCTGAAAAATTCAGGAATATGAAAGAATGTTAAATCTCTTTTGTGCAAGCCACAGTACAGTTATACTTTAAACTAACAATGCCATTTCGCCCCGAAAATCAAGTGTATATATAATCATTTTATTCGGTATTCTTCTAACTTACACCATCTTCGTGCAAACCGGGAAGGTAATTATTATTGGCTGCAATAAAAAAAGGAATCTGCTTGTTGAGGTAGACATTACGTTTCTACTGCTTTATTAATTACCAAACGAATTATTTAAATGAAATTAATAAAATGTGGTTTACATTGTCGTGAATTTAAACCGAAAAATAATAATGAGCATGACACAGAAACTTTGTGAATAGCGATAACGTTAAGCTCTTATCCATCGCTCACTCCTTCTTCGAAATCCAGAAGTCCAATGTCATTTATCTCACACCAAGCACTGACTGAAACCATTCTTGCATATAGCGTCTATACCATTCGAGTGGATCATTCTTATACTTATTTTGCCATCCTTACACCACTTCTGCGCAAAACAGAAGGAAGGTTAAGCTTTCGAGATGTGGTGTTAACTCAAAACGGCAAAAAATTGACTTGCACCATTTTTGCATTAGACGGCTCATTTATACAGTGCTCTACGATCACTGCTAAATTCACACAGTTCTCCACAGTACGTACAAATACTTACTTAAATATAATACTTTCCGTTTGTATGACCACTTCACATAGAGCAACTTCGTGAACGGGCCTTACCTAAGTAATGGCGCCTCAGCGCTTCTTAGCTTGGACCGTATTTATTTAAAATACACTTTGAAACGCTTATTTATTTATTAGAAACAAAATTATTAAAAATATTTCAACATAATTTTCTCTGAAAATACTGAAAAATTGCGGTGTTTTTAAAAATTGATTCCGCTTCTTTTTTTTTTCAATTTATCTCGCCATTGGTACCACCTCGTTAAATACCATATATGCTAATTCATTTATGACCGCAATAAAAACAATATCTTCAGAGTACACGTGTTGGATCATTGACACTATATCCCAGCTCGACTGGCATAATTAGCATAACGGTTGTAATTTCTTTATTAGGTCATACAGATACGTGCACACAATTCACGGTTGTACTGGTGAATTCGAAACCAGACTTCTGCATTGGGAACGCTTTAGAAGGTATGTGTGATGTAAGACGTTTATACAGGGTGGTACAAAAGGTATCCTACATGTGTACTGCCATCTATACGAACATTTGTACTATCTGTGCAGTTACATTAAATAAATTTTACAATCACATCGAGAAATCTTTATCACCTCTATCTGATTACTGATATCTGATACTATTATCTGACATTATCACCTTTATCTGATACTATTATTGTGAAAAGCATTTGTCCCTTTAAAAGAAAAATTTCTCCGTTTGTCCTATCAACACTGCGAATATTCACTAATATTATACAATTATATTAAATATTCATTGTACTGTCACGTCCCCGTTCCCGGTAGGGAAAAATAATAGCGACTCAGGCTATTATTTTGCAGGGCCTTTGACGATCGGCAATCTTTCGGTTCACGCGGTACGTATGCCACGCGTCTAACCGGGATCCGTGGTCTCTATGAACGTAACAGCGCGCAATACTCACGGGGTGGACTGGTTACGGTGTTACTGGCGCTCGATTCCTTGTCGGGGGTGGACTGGTTACGGTGTTGATAACGAATCACCAAATGTAATTAGATTAACGCTAACTTAAACTTATAGAACAAGATATAGGAAATGGTGATGCTAGAACGTAGGCGACTTAGGAAGGAGCGTGAAGCGCTCCGACTGAGAATGAACGAACAGCCCTAGTCCGAGGCTCTTTTTATACGGTCTGAGTGTAGGCGCGGGGTATCGTATTGGAATATCGAAAATTTGGGAGATAAGCTGTGATCGAGTATCATGTGAGATAGTGGTGTTGTGTCTGGTTTAGCGGATGTTTGGAAGATAGGAGGCATGGGAAACCTGTGATTGAATTTGGGAGGATGTTTATGTGATAGGAGTTGTGAGAAGTGGCACATAACTATGGAATGCGTGAGGTGACAGGTTTGGGAGGCTGTTTTGGGGAAGAAGGGATGTTAGTTAAGCTATCGGTTACATGTGGGGCTTATTTAGACTTAATACCAGTTCAAATGTCGGGTCGCCCGACGTCACAGTACTATCATACTAATAATTTAACCCTTAAACGGTTTTTAACCCCTTCAGGGACACCAACGCATATGTGTACCTTTAAATTTTCGAAAATTCCAATATTTGCGACAGAGAAAATACGAAGAACACAATCTCCCGAAATCTCCTAAGGAAAGTAGTTTAACTGCTATCGATTTAACATGAATATAAATCTAACTACATAACAAATTACAAATAACAAATTGAACAGGTTAACCGAAATAAGAAAAACGTTTAACCGTTTCAAATAAAAATTCGCCAATTTATTAGAAATTCTCAAAGGTCTACCTTTTAAAGGGCATCTTTTACCAAATCTACTATCGTACACTAAGAGCACTCGAAATTACCGTCGAACTTGCAAACATTTGCCTTTCACAGCCACCATTTGTCGATCTACCACCAGACACACCACTGTGTCAAATCGAACGTTCTCGCGCTTCAGCAAACGAAACCGAAGAAAAAACTAAACTAGACCACCGTGAAACCCCCTTCTCGTCGTACTTTTTATCGCTACAGCCAAATTTCCATGGCTAGACAGTGATCGCAACGTGGCGCTACGATCGAGATGAAAAATGTTGTCGGTCGGGGCTTGATAAAAACTTTATTGTCGGAGGCGACAGTCGCCTCCTGGACAACGAGCAGCGCGCACAGCGCACAATCGCCGCGAGTAGAGGCCTGCGCCCGACAGATCCGCGCGGAACTGAGAAGAGGGAGGCGACGTGAAGCCGGGGCATTGCATAATAGCGGGCGGAGACACGGCACCGTAGGAAATGGGAGAGGAACACAGCTGATTGTGAGCCAGGAACGTCGGTTTGCTAAGCGCCAGGACCGCGAGGATCATGCAGGGACACCCGGTACGTAACGCTAATTTTTCTTACATTTTTTTCCCATTAGTCACGTTACGACATTTCAAGTGTCTCGTTTCGATAGAATTACGGTGGATAGGGGTGTGAAAAATATTTACAGACGTGTTTAATCTGAAAGACAATATGTAGGTATCTGTTGCTGTTTAATTTTTCGAATTTTTCTCAAAGTCTCGAGTGCGTTGTTTTTTTCAATTGTAACTGTACGAGTTTGGTTCTGGCTCTCGTAGAACTACGACAGGCTAAAATATTTCAAGGGAATGTGTGTAGGAAAACGATATGTATTTCTGATGATTTCTTCTTTTTTTTTTTTTAGTATGGAGTGCAGGTTTTTTTTATTGTAACTGTAATCGTACGAGATTAGTGTCGACTCTGATAAAGTTATGGCAGCGATTCACCTGTTCTGCAGTAACAAGCTCCGTTCTCTTCCAGATTAGAATTTTTAATTTCAACTGTTACGCTTGATTTCAAAATGATAGCGCAACCAGTTCGAATTTTATGCTGAAAATAAATTTTACGTTTCGAGTGACACACTTATTGTATTCATCTCTAAACCAACAATTGTTTTAAAAACTCCGCATAATCCGGTGTGCACGCAAGTTTCAGTGATCAACTTTACCTGGAATTTTTTTGGTAAATAATAGCGAGAACAGTAGGTTAGTGTATCCTGATCGAGTAAAAACGGCGACGAAATAAATAAGCTGACTTAAGCTACTTTGGACGGAGAATTCGATTAAGAAACAATGGCACAATGGCTCGATTGTGCCGTCACGTGTTCCACGCGACTTGGAGTTCTCCGATGGCAGTTTTGCCGCAAACAAACATAATATTATCTCGTTTATTTTTCATTATTTTTCAGTCAAAAGCTGGGATAAATTTCTCCAAAGAATTATCCTCTTTTGTAATGATAAATTTAGTGAAAGAAATATGTTGGAAATGTGATATAAAATTTATTATAACGAAGGATGTTTCACTTGCGAGAGGTAGCGTACGTGTTCTCTGTCACATTTTACATGCTGGAAAACTTCGGAATGGGGTCAACGACCAATCGATGCTTATCTAATCTGCTAGACGAAAATCATGACCGAAATTTTTTTGTACATAATGATGCTCCAAATAAATATAAATAGAACGTGGTGTGATAAACGAGATGTAGTAACGGAATTTTTAAATGTTCCACTTTCGTAATGATAATTATTAAACATAATCTAAGTTTCCAAAATTTTCACATTCTTTGTGATAATTTTGAAACGAAATGAAAAACATTGATTCATAAAGTGACCTTAAATTTGAATGAAATGTTACGCGTCTTACAAAAATTCCAACTGTTCTTTTGAAATTTCTGAAATTCTCCATTATTTTGTTACTAGCTTCATAAAAATTCTAGCCCTCGCTCACTAGTTCACCACGAAAATCCTTGAAGAATTAAGTTTTCAATTATATTTTCTCAGAAATTTATCAAAAATTCCAACCCACTTCTGCTCCTTTCTTGCCAGGACTGGCGCTCCACCATCGCGATCACGTGTAGCTTCGCCGTTGTCCTCGTGGTGGTGGTGTGGACCGTTCGAAAGACCTCGAAAAATTCGGGAAAACGGAGAGAACCCGAAATCAGCGAAGAAAATGAAACGGAAGAAATAGAAGAGCCGGAGAACGTGGAGGAGGACGTGAACAGTGAAGAGGACTTGAATCACGTGGTCGAGGTTACTGACAAGGGGCGTTGTTCGATCGACGACACGATTCCAGAATTGCCTGATCCAAAATGGGAGAAAGTGGGCGAAATTCGAGAACTGTACCTGTACCCATTGAAATCCGGACGCGGAAAGAATTTGAAACAATGCGACTTCACTGAATTTGGCATTAGTCTGAAAAACGAAGGGATGTTCACCCTCGTTGATAGGTAATCAGAATTTTTTATAGCCATTTTTACCTTGAAAATTTGTACCTTAGGTAAATGGAACGATTATTTACGTAGTTTTGTTTATTTCCAATTTTCTGAACGAATTTTTCAATACCTTTGATAAGGAATTTTTTAACAGTCTGAGTTTTCAGTGGAAATTTACACTTTTGTGTAAAAGTTAGGCATACACGTATAGTTTTCTTCATTCTGAATTTCCCCATTGAATCAATCATTAATTCAACAACTAACAAAAACAACACACTTTTCTCCTCGATAAAAAATCTTCAACATCTTACAAACATTGTTCTTTTTTCCCTCCAATTTCTTTACTTTCTAAAATGTTCGACAAATGTGACACGTGACAAGGACCCAACAACGTTCCTCTCCCGAAAGAACCAAAGATGAACCCGTCGCTGTTCATCAGAATGTTTCTAGTGTACAACGAGGAGACTGGTCGGTTCCAAACTGGCAGACACTATCCAACGTTGATCCTGGTCAGTTTATCCGCGGTGGATGATACCAAGGTGAAGCTGGAGGCCGTGGGGATGCCCAGCGTGATCTTCGTGGTGCCAAAGTGGCTGGAAAACGCTTCTGAAGCCGTTCAATGCACCATGTGGTGGGGAGAGTCGGTGAAGTGTATCGATTGTGGCCCAGAACCAGCTGAGTGGTTATCAAGGTTTGCATTTCTACACTTTTCACCCCTCTTCACGAATAATCTCATTCAATTCTTTCTCAGTAAAATTCAAACGACCAGTTACTTGAAAAAATTTTGTGGCTTTTCATACTTTTAGTGAAATTTATTTCAAAGGGTCTAGCAGGATAAGATGTGTCCTTGAATCAATTAGCGTACCGAAAGAAAACATTTGACACCAACTTCCAACCCTCTATAGCTTGACCTAGGGGGTAGTTGCAGGGTGGTTTATGTTCATCAGTTTCTATCTTCCCTATTTAGCGGTGTGCGAAAATTTTGAAAGAAATCTAGCACATTGCGTATATGAAAAGATATGTTAGTGTGCCAATACCTTAGAAAAATCAGTTTTTAATTTTTTTAACTACGGCACACCTTACTGAAAAATCTGAAAAAAATTGAGGATAGTAGTTATGTTAAGATGCTGCTACTACATAAATATAAAAGTAGTCGCTTCAATATTTCAAAAGATATCCGCTTGCGTTTACCGTTTTTATTTTTAACAATTAAGATTTGCAACGAAAAAATCGGAAAAAATTCCCTAATACGTGTCTTCATATGCGCAATGTGCTAGATTTTTTACCAAATTTTTGCATACTGCTAAATAGGGAAAGTAGTCCAAAAACTGATAATCATAAACCACCTTGTTGCTACTCCCTAAGTCGAGCTCGAGGGTTGAAAGTTGGTGTCAAATGTTTTCTTTCGAATGGTATATCGTACGACCTAGTTAGTTCAAAGGCACTTTTGACCATCTTATCCTGCTGGACCCTTTGGAGCAATGATTTTTCATGCATGCATTATAAATTTGTCTGTGAAGATAACGAAGATAAAAATTATAACAGTGTTCAAATTTAATGTTAGGCAATCCTAAGAAATTTCAAATTTTTGAGAAGAATTTAAATAATTCTTTATAATTAATTTTCAAATAATCATTTTTTCACATACATTTCTATGCACGGTGATTCAGAAACTCCGTTCATAACAAAATTGAATTTTCTTTCTCTCAGATTTCTGACTGGAACAAATTCTGGCCTGAGACTAGGATGTACATTGATGGACAGGAGAAACGTTTTCGTTCCGCCATGGAAAAAATTCACCGATGTGTACCAAAACCTTAGAAACGAGGATACTGTGATTATTCTTTGAATTTATCTGTTGAATTATTTTTCCTCTTATTTCTGGTTTCCTTTGTAAGGTGAATTACTTTCATTTTCAGGGTTTGTTCAGTGACTTGGCCAGCTACATGCTGATGACCACAAGGTCTGTCGAGCAGTTGAACGAAAAATTGGAGAGGCCAGTACCAACTCTACAATTCCGTCCAAATATTCTGGTCTCCACGCAGAAACCGTTCGAAGAGGACAATTGGGAGTGGATTAAGATTGGAGAACGAGTGGTTATTCGAAACGTCAAGCCTTGTTCACGGTATAGAGAAAAAAAAGATATGAAAAATTTAATTACAGTAACATTTTAAATCCGTTCATTTAAATTTCAAACGAATAAAGCAGATGTACAGGGTGTTCGAAAAATATTTTAACAATTATTAATCTTGTAATTGATATCAATTGTTCCGTCGCGCAGATACGGAACGCATGGGGTCTTCGTTGACCGGGTTTATGGCACGCTCGCACGAGAAGGTTACTTTTGAGAACAAAGACGCTTCGTAGCTCCGCGAAAAAATAAGTCATTTCTTACAGAACAGTGCCTTTAGAATTTCGACTTTTCCGCGTCCTCGATAACCGAAGACGTGTCATAAACCAGGTATTACTGAAGGGTCAATCCACACGCGCGTACAACGGCACTCTCGGCCGAGGGTTGACCTGGCGGGAATTTCCGACGCGTCACCGAAGGACAGCGAAGATTCCACGCACACTCCTTCCAAGGAAAAGCGCGCTAAGGGCGCAATGGAAGGGTGGGTGACACTCAAGGGGGCACGTTGATTGGTAATTTGTGCGTACGTGAAAAACCAATCAGCGTGCCTTCTTGCACTTGGCAGGGGAGTCACTGCGGGCTCCAGAAAAATTCGGGAATCGAGCGAGAGATTGAGAAAAGGTTCCATCGAGCGAACACGTCTAGATCTCCAGCCGTTCGAGGAGACACAACACATTCGAAAGATTCTCTCGTGTGAACAAGATACTCTCTCCAGCCGTTCAAGTACAATTCGAGTCTTTGAAACAAAGTCGTCAATCGTTCGTGACGCACTCTACGTTCGAGCAAAGTAGATTTTGAACTAGTTACCCAAGATTAATTTGGCGGGTAACAGTCGCGACCGCGAGCTTCCTGTTGAACATCGCAAAAGAGCTCGGGTCGCGTAATGCTCGATGCTTAAGTGCCGAACCGGTACGCGAGTTTAATCACACCTTGCTTCATTCAGTGTGAAATGCTAAGAACTATTTTAATTTCAGACTATCAAAAAACTAATTTGTGTAAGACCAACTGCCAAGACTTCCAAAAAAGACACGCTTCTGCTTCGTTTCCTTGGTTTTATCAGCTCGGCCAGTTGCTGATTGGTGGCCGATTTCCTCTGGGGGGTGTAGGTGCTGACTCCTCATTGGAGGAGGTTGTTTAGATGGGACGCAGCTCCTTCCAAGGGAAAGGGATTGTTGCTTAACACTAGAAAACCCCCTTTTTTGGGTTTTTCCCAGGGGTTGCCGCGTGAATTTCCACCGCGCACATGACCTCTTCACGGGGAGTACGGTACGCGCGAGAGGACCGGTACCTCGGTCTGGCGGCCAAGTGCAATTGAACAAGTTTACGACGATAACCCGCCAGACCGAGGTTTCGTCGCGATTTCTTGCGAGGCAACAACGCCGGACGGCACCTAATACCGGACATTAATTATACCTGCAATAATTGAAACGCTACCGAGCCGATATTCTGCGTATCTCCTAGAGGAGACAAAAGGAATAAAAATAAGTTTTCTACGCGTTTCACTCGCGCGTGCACAGGTAGAGAGATTTATTTAAGAAACACCTTAAGCGTCCGGCGCTAGGGGAACTCCCCCTATATTTATTTCGTAACCCTTTTACCCAAGCGAAGTATTATTTTAACGGCTTCTTAACCGTTCGAGTCCCAAGCAGTGCGATCGCGCTGTTTAGACTTTGTGTCGAAAAGTCCCAGTACATTTGAACGCTATGGACAACTCACGGTGCACTCACAGTCTGCCAAAATGGCGCGCTCATCGCATCGCTTCGCACAGTTATTAGCGATGATAATCACTTATAGAATAATACGTCCGATCACTTTGCCAACTGCATTAAATTTGTCGACGTGAAAAGAAGCGTGATCCCGTTACTCGGCACCAACAAACATAAATTAAGACAAGCGCCAACCGGCATTTTTCGGCACAAAATAAGAAAAGCGCTGTTCGGCATTTTTCGATAGTGTTTTTTCAACGACCCCTGGGACTCAAACGGTTAATAATATGTCTTCAGTTAAATCAGAAATTTTGAATGAAACCTAACCTAGTTGTACTTGTCGCAGGTGTAAAATGGTTCGTCTGAATCCAGAAAATGGTGTGGTGGACAAGGAGGAGCCTTTGAAGACGCTGAAAACGTACGAAGATAATACTATCCTTTCTAACTGCGTACAAAAAGATAAACAAAATTATTGTCAGACTTAGAAAATCTCTAATTTAACAATTTTTTTTCGCTTTTGAAGAACAGTTTTTAACTTTGCTTAGTTTCAGAGAGCAAACCAATCCAGAACGTGCTGCACTCGAGGGAAACGCGCCAACGATGGGCATTTACTGCGGATTATACGTTCCTGGGAAGGTGGAAATCGGCGACGAAGTTTTCGTTCACTCGTCCATCGAATCGAATCATAGAGAAGCAGAGCCAGCTAAATAGAAGAAATCGAACTTTCCGCAGACAATTAACCACGCTTCAAAAAGATTGGCCTTTCCATTCGAAGATAGCTGAATATTTCACGCGTAAAAAAAATGTCGATGTGTGTTCATTCTTTTAAAGAAAAAAAAAAAAAAAGAAAACAAAAAGACAGAAAGATAGTATTTTGAGACGAGCAATTTAATTCAATAAAAATTCCTGAACGATTCAGGACGTTTTTCAAGACAATATTACGCGCGATTTGTACAATCGATTATCGTTGAATTGAGACTATGCAATCGTTGTACTGTACAACGGGTGTCCTAGAATGTGTCACATAGTTTGGAGGAAATGTTTCTAGGGGGAAATATTGTTTTTAACTTCTGGTTCCTAGTACCATTTATTCTAGGACACCTTGTGTACATATACGTCGAATAACTGTTGCATTAAATAAAGTTCCAATTGTTACAAAATCTTCTTGTATTTTTATTTCTCATTTTTATAAAAAAAAAGAAATTGATTCACTTCTTAAGCACAGAAGAATACATTAAAAAATCTAAGATTGGAATTAATTGGAAAAATTTTCTAAAAAGAATTATAATGCTTCAAATCACAGAAAATTGCAGGAGAAATAAATAGTTTCCTCGTCGCAAGTTTCACAAAATATAATTACCCTTCAAGAAATTCAACGAAACTGACTTTTTAAGCAAGAAGATTGAAACTTTTTAAAATTTGGGGTTAATTAAATAAAGGAACAAGAACTGAAGAATCAGCAGTATAGTAAAAAGATCGAAGAATAAATCCACTCGCAAAATTTAAGAAAGCACACTTCACTTTTCTCTTTACCTATTCCTCTACTATTCTCACATTTTCACCATTCAAAATTTTCCGTCGGATGATGCAGAAAATATCTCGTTGTGTCACGAATGAAGTCTTCAGAGCAAATAATAATCTCGCCGCGAGCGTAATGGCATAGCATTACCAATTGAAGAGGTCAGAGGCCTTGTTAGATAAGGAGAAATGACCAAAGAGTAGGGGGACACATTATACATAAGTATACATATATGTACATTCGTACGACCCTCGTCTCTTTCAGTCTCTTTCATTCTTCGAAACGTGTTACGTTCGCGTAACGCGATGTTCGTCCATTCATTACTCTCGTCCATTGTTCTCCTTTCTGGATTATTAACGACAGCATTATGTCAGAGGCAGGATGGTGAGCAGAATTTTTTTTTTTAAGTACTAGATTATCTTTTTGTTTTTAATTCATTCCAATTTTGGTCCACGTAACTTGCACACCTTGAGTAACTTCTAGAGCAGGGGTTCCGAAAGTGCGGCCCGCAAATCCTAGAAATGCGGCCTGCGATGGCAGATCAGCCGCCATCTTGAAATTACAGAGATAATTTACATTTTTACAAAAACATTAATACATTTTATCATATTATAATTAAAAATTGTTCAGTTAAAAAAAAGTAGATTGTATATATTTCATTGTCTTAACGGCCAATGGCCGTAATTGTCTTAATGGCCCGCCAAATATTTTCGAATTTACAATTTGGCCCTCCCAGGCAAAACTTTGGGAACTCCTGTACTAAAGTATGCGTTGTACGAAATAATTCTTTATAGACGAGTTGCATGGTTTGAAGGGGCACATTATGCAGTGTACGTACTTTTTTTTAGGGATTCAGGCGTTACGGAGATTTCAAGATCAACTTTGTTGTTTTATATTTTTTATGCCATGTGAAGTGTTTTCATGCAACGCATACTTTAGAAATTATTCGACGTGTGCAAGTTGCGTGGACCACCGTGTAATTTTAGAATAATGTAAATTTGAATTGTACTTAATGGTGAATCATATTTTGTAATGTAATATATTTTAATTATAATATCTTATCGTATTAAATATTCGTTATTTCATAATATCAAAGAATTTTTCGTTTATATAAGTGTGAAAATACAGAAATGTCTCTCTAATTGGCCACTATGTAGTTTGGATTCTATAATTGGCACCATAGATGGTCCTACGCCTACGTCTACGTCATTGCTGCGTCTATGTTATCTCGCTCGCTGTTAGTCAAGCGTGTAACGCTACACCACCCGGTTTCTTTTACGAGATTTCAGGGCTCGACAGTTCATAATAGAATAGTATAACTTTTTTAATTTTACTTTTTTCTATCTGAAATTTTTTTTAACATGTTGGTGAGATTTTTCTGATGAAAATGAGATCAAACACGATATAATTTGAACAATTACTTATTGAGTAATTAATTTAATTTCATAATACAGTAGTGCACGCATAAGCGTCCGCATTTTTGCACACTTACAAGGGAACTTCGGTAACCCGAAATGTCCGATTTTTTTGAAACTTTGTGGGTTTGTAGGGGACCTCAAGAGAAGTATCGGGCAATTCTTTTTTGGCCCAATTTCGTTTCTTCGGGGTGAAAACAACCCTTGAATGAAGATAAGTGTTACCTTATTTCCCTGTATATCTTTAAAACTATAGTAGATATAAAAAAATGTTTATAATAAAAATTAAATGGTTTTTTATGCCTTATAAGACTGTGCTATTAAATTAATAAAAATTCTTGTTATTAATAAAAAATCTTCCACTACCGTTGTTGTGAAAAATTTTTAATTTTCTATCATATCGAAAAATATGTCAAATAAATACAGATAAATACCAAAATAAAGATAAAAAAAAAATACTTGGTACCTGTTAAAACGTAAAATGAAATACCTAAGAAACGTAAAATTAAAAAAGTTGGTGTTTAAATCGCTTGGTTGCCTCGACTCTCGTTTCATCTTTATCTTTTATTCGCTGTCCTTGTCTTCGTTCGGCAAACTACAAAGGCGGGCGCGAGGCTCGAAAACGTAGTCCCTGATTCCTAAATTTTCCTGTTTATTTAGGTTCCCTGCTGGTTGCCAATTAGAGAGACATTGCTGTAGTGTGTGATATTTCAATGTGTAAAATAAGAGGAAAATATATATTTCACTGATATTCAGATTAGATTTTAAACATAAGTTATCTTAATACTTCTTTTAAAAATTGAAAATTCCGTGGAAAATTTCGTTTGCCAAAATGAAGATAGACGAGTCTTATTTGTCGTCGTTCTATCAATATTGGTATTTCAATTGCATTATCTGTGCAAGCTAGGACATTTTAAACCAAATAAATGACTGTGACTTTTGGAGAGTACGAATTCTAAAAATGGACGCTAATGTGATTAAGTGACGCTGGTGAACGCTCGAGCGTAGGGGTGAGAGTTCTCGAGGGTGAAACGAAGATCTGAAAGAAAACCTTCGTCGTTGGTAATAAATTATGAAGTTTAAAAATTCCTCCAAATATCCTGCTTTGAATAATGAATTAAGCTAAAAAAAATTCTCCATTACAAAGAATTACATTAATATTACAATTTGGAAAGAAAAAGAACTGAAAATGAAGACAATGGAAATTTGGAAACAGCTTTCTATAAACCATAATTTTTATATTCCTTCAAATATCCTACTTTAAATAATAAATTAAAATAAACAATTATATCAATATTAGAATTTGGAGAGAATTGAAAATATAGGCAATGGAAATTTTGAAACAGCTTTTCAGGAGACTCTGGGACACATCAGATCTCAAACTCCACCGGAAATACAGGCTGCAGCGGCCCAAGGAGTTGCAGAACGATTATTGGGTATCGAACGAGCGAAACACTTCGTGTTACTGGTCAATCCTGATTATGGTCCCATTGGAAAAGATACCTTTTTGGTAATCTTTTACTATTGCTATATTTCAGTTGTTGTTTAAACGTGGAAATGAACTTCCGTTTGAATCATTAAAGTTGATACAGTATGAGCTAATAATAACGATAAGGTCAGAACGAAGAATTTCCTAATTCTTTCGTGGAATTTTAAGTTCAATTCGTTTAAAATTCAAACCTAAGGCGAAAATTTATATTCCAGAGAACTCTAGAATGGTAATTTTAAGATTCTGTTTGAAACGTTGTGGACTTAAAGTGCTCCAGAAGTAAAATACTAGAGGCCTCTAAGAGCTTGAGTTTTCCGAGATTGAAAATTGCTCAAAAATTTAAATTCCAAAAACTCGCAAACTCTAATCTCAGGTTTCACTTCAAAATTCTGCGAGTCCAAAGTACTCCACGCGTGGAACACCATAGAACTCTAGAATTCTAATACTTGTCCACGTTCAAAATTTCGCGATCTCAAATTTCTCTGGAATTTACGTTTCAGTACACTTAAAAATTCCACATCTTTTTAAAAACGTTCAAAATTATAATCCTTTAAGTTCAAGACCGAAAGTGGAACATTTTCAACTCGAGAGAGCAAAAGTTTCTAATGAATTACTTGCAATTCTAAATTGCTGACCAAGCACCACCAATAAAATAAATCCAAATTTATAGAATAAAGTTTGATTTTTAATATCCAACTTTACTATATCAGATCAAGAAAAATCACTTTGGTCAAGTTGAAATCCTAGGCAGTTCTGGTGTCGCTGCAGCCTGGGGTCTACACTATTACCTCAAAAACTACCGCAACGACCATATTTCATGGGAAGGAAATCAAATTGGACCTTACAGTGACTTGCCAGATGTTTATGAACAAATCACCTCAAACGACAGGTAAGATATCTTAAGTGAAAAATTTGCAAAATTGTTCACTCTCTTCCCTTCAATACTCCACTAATTTTTTTAACAAACACACAGATTCAGATACTATCAAAACGTGTGCTCCTTTGGTTACACCTCAGCCTGGTGGCAATGGGACCACTGGGAAAGACACATCGACTGGATGGCACTTAATGGAATCAATTTGGCCCTTGCTTTTAACGGTCAAGAGGCTATCTGGCAGCGAGTGTACCACCAATTGAATTTCACTACAGAGGAGATTAACGAGCACTTTGGCGGACCAGCATTTTTACCCTGGTAACGTTCTTTTATCGCTTACTGTATCGTCTAAAAGTTCAGACGAAATGATCAAATCTCTGGTATCGATCATTTTTCAGAACAGCCTCAAGTAATGAAATCTAGTCGACGAATCTCTGGTGATAAAAAATTCGCTAATCTTCTTTATCTACCTCCTCTGTAGTCGGTGAGAGATCAGAAGTCGCGATTTTTTTCGACGAGTGATTTATTACATAAATGACAGCTGTACAATTTCTCGTTCGCAAAAATTGCAAATTCTTGGGTGAACAGAAATTTCTGGGCTTCCAAGCAGACTGTAATAAATCTACAGCCACCATTTTTTTTTTTTCACTTCGATTCACCTCTTCAGGTCTAGAATGGGCAATATTCGAGGATTCGGCGGCCCTTTGAGCTCCAATTGGCACGAGAAGTCGCTTCAATTGCAGCATCGCATCCTTAGAAGGATGAGGGAGTTAGGGATCATTCCTGTTCTCCCAGCTTTCGCTGGTTACGTGCCCAGAGCGTTTCCTAGCCTGTTCCCTATGGTTAACGTCACCAAAAATGCTGTTTGGAATCAATTCTCCGACAAGTATTGCTGGTAAGAAGTGATTGAGACAGAAACAAAAATGGAAATTTCTGGTGTACAGGTCGATTCGAGAACAGGCGAACTCACTGGGCAATATTAGAAAAAGGAAACCAAGAAATTTTTTCAGTAAAATAATTATACCCGGATGATATAACATGGTCACGAATAATTTGGGACAAAAAAAAAAAAGAACAGTCCATTGATATTTCTAATGGAAAAGAAAGTTCCAACGAACATCGATTAACGAAATTTTATTACGTTCGTTTGCATGGTAATTTTCTGTGGACAGATTACAACATAGACAATTTTAATTAATCGTCGATAAGATTCGAGGATAAGATATTATTCGTTTTGCAATTTAATTAAAAATTCTCAAGTTAAGATTCATTATCGATTTTCTTCTATTTTCAATTTTACACTTTCCGACGCTTCTTTTGAATCGCCCTGTACACTGAACGTTATCGAACATTACAGTGATTTCCCTTTAGTCCCTATCTTTTGGACCCTGCAGAACCACTGTTCCAGAAAATTGGAGAATTATTTTTGCAAACGGTACGTTCTATCCTTTTCTCTTTTTCAAATTTGTATATTACATTTTTAGGTCTAACTTTACTTTTCATATTTTTACAGTACATCGAAGAATTTGGAACCGATCACGTTTATAACTGCGACACCTTCAACGAGAACGAGCCTCATACCGGTCAATTGAAGTTCCTGAGGAACGTCGGACACTCGATTTACACAGCTATGAATAATGTTGATCGAAAAGCTATATGGTAATGTGACAAGTATAAATAAAATTGACAATTTTCTCTACAATGCAGAAATATTATTTCTCAAGGTTAATGCAAGGTTGGCTATTCGTCCACGATTTATTGTTTTGGACTGAACCTAGAGTCGAGGCTTTCTTGACATCCGTCCCATTGGTGAATATTTCTCAGTTATTTAAACAATAACAATGCTGCTTCAATTATTTCACGATGTTACGGAATATTTATATTTACCTTTTTCCTTATCACTTTAGGGAAAAATTATAGTACTGGACCTTCAGTCTGAACAATTTCCACAATACAAGAGACTGAACTCATACTATGGCCAACCATACATCTGGTGCATGCTTCACAATTTTGGTGGTACTCTTGGAATGTTTGGTTCTGCTCAAATTATCAGTTCTGTGAGTCTATACTTTTTTCATTCACTGACTAATGATAAAAACGAGAAATAAGAGCGAATACCTTTCCCCCTTAGATTTCGGCCAATAATTTTACTGTTTGCCCAGAGAAATTAATTAAGATTAAATCAACAAAGGCCAACTGATTAAGATTTAGAATTTTTCAGAAAGTTTGAAGAGTATTGTTTCACCACAGATATTAATCCAGACTTCGTGGTCCTAATTTTGTTTTTTTTTTTTATAAATTATTGCTTGACCAGAGAAATTGAAATTTGCAGATTTTAAATAATCATTACTGAACTTAAATGAGAAACGATTGATTCCTTCAGCAAGTTATGGAAGCAAGAAACACGAAAGGCAGCACAATAGTGGGAACAGGCCTAACACCGGAAGGCATAAATCAAAACTACGTGATTTACGACTTAATGAACGAGATGGCATACCAACAAGAATCCGTCTATTTGGACGATTGGTAAATTCTACGAATTTCTTCCTTTAAATTATAATTAAATGTGAAAAATTGTACTGCTTCAATACGACTTCGTATTTCCTCGAAACAGTGTAAGCTGACCAGTGTCACGTGATCGTTCCAGGTTCGAGAGTTATGCCAGTCGAAGATACGGCGAATGGAACGAGTATACTGTTGCAGCGTGGAAGAATTTGGGGAGAACGGTCTACAGTTACGCCGACAGCCGGAAAATTAGAGGGAAATACGTGATTACTAGGCGACCAAGCTTATCTCTCACGCCATGGGTGAGTAGAATTCATTATTAACGCCTCTTTAATGCACTGCAATCTCTGTTTTCTTCTTTTTTTCGAAGAAAATATTTGGTCAGTATGTTACTGACGAAATATTTATTCTAAGTATTATCAACATATTGCAATTAAAAGGTAGAAAATATTTATTTCTGAAATATTTCACTTCAAAATAAGAAAAAC